AAGTTATCTGAGCTAGGGATATTTTTGAGGTGTGATATCAAAACTTATATTCAGGAGGCATGATTATAGTTTTACGACTGAATGTATTACATAAGTAGTGTTAAACACAAAATCTTTTTATTTAATTGACGAAGTATTTCAGTCATTTATCTTTTACTTCTTTTCAGTTGAGCTTTTAGAGGCTTTCTTGTTTTGACCTTACGGAGTCCTAGAGATTATGGATTATTGTTCATTATTTTCTTATCACCGTCTGTTATTAGGCCAAAGAGAAATTTCAGAGGATGCATCATTCATTCCTTCATTCTTTAGCTCAAAACGAATAGTTATCTAAGCTATTTTAGCCTATACTTATCATCATTGGTTCCCTGCTTTTACATTTTTAATTTACTATCTACGTGTCTACTGATAGCATCTGACAGTTTAATCCTTTTAGAAAGTTTGAATATTTCTGGTGGAACTCATACCCGGTAATGTTCAACATACATAGGAATTATGCAAATTCTCTTCAGTTCTCATTGTGCTGTTACATCGAAGAACATAGGAAAAGGTTTTAAGAAGATCTTTTCATCCCCTGAAACACTGTTATACATACATCTTCAATGTTATTGTTGCAATAAAATGTTGTTTTTTGATATCGTCCTAATAGGTCTGTGCTGTTATTTTGTCTCTTGAGGATCTAGTGTTTGAGAACGTTTGAAGTGGATGTTTATCATAACAAGAGAAATATGGTAGATGCAGATCAGAAGAGGATCTAGTGAGTTTGAGTAAAGTTAACTGGTTCGCACTTTCTCGGTTTCGAGACTTTAAACAAGCAATGGTAACGTTGTTAACCTTAATACCAGGCATCAGGTAGTAGGGAACATTTAAATAACGCCAATTACCCCCTGCCCTAACAGAGATATTTAAAATCATCTTTGTTATACGTAGTCTTTTCTCAAAAACCAACCTCAATGTCTATAGTGGAACTACATGGATTAAGGAAAGATGAAAATATCATAGCTAAAACTAATTGACAGAATTAGGAAACTACTAAACTTTGTGTCCGACCCAGTGGTTGACCAATTAACGTGCTTGTCATAAAATCTGAAGGTCCTAAGTTTAATCGTTGATAGTGCCTTTGGAGGTTGTCTACTGACATGAGACGGCTGTTCAGTGCTCTCAGGCTTTCAATACTTCGACTAATGTCAGTCTGTGACGGATACTACTTTACAAAAATATTTGTGCTTACTCTCTTCTTTACTTATACCCTTCAGCATCAATAATTTCCTTTGCCAATTAAACTAATTAGCTGTGGAAAATAATCCTTGTTTAAATTTTCAACAAACTAATTAATGAACAAAGAATAATGTTTTCGATAAATTCCCTGTCATTCCTGACTAGGCAGCCAATGTGAACAAGATTAAGCGGTATTAACCCGTCACGAATTCATATGGTAGTCGGGAAAAACTCTTAGTTATTGAAGTGAAATAGAAGTCTAGTGAGCAGTCGAACCTCATAGGTCAGTTAGTAGAGCATCCAGACGAAAACCCAGTGGTCTTTTGTTCAAATCCGACTACGATCCAGATTTTTATTTCATCTTCAATCATCACTCATTATAAATTTACGTCTATACTATCCGTAAAAGAAGAATTTCTTAGGATTCAGCAGCTCCGTCAACGAGAATAACGGTAAGCAGTGACAATTGGAGATTGAAATTCATAAAATTATAAGGACTGCCTGTGAAATTAACTGTACTGACTAAAACTCACTATATATGTGTATACTCAGAATGATAGAAACTATCAAATCCTTGGCTAGTTTAACAGCTTTAGTCGGCACCATACTTCCAATGTTCAGTCGCGATATCCAGTTACTGTATATGTCAGTTTTTATACCATCTCTCCAAAGCATTTGAACCCTTTATGGATGTTTTCAAAGGCGAATCAGTCCGTTAAGCGAAGTAGTAAAGAATATTTATAGCTCAGATGGATGATATTTGTTGTACTGTGTTCTCTGAGCTAGGTTGTTTAATCGTGAAGCTTTCATCGTCTTTCTAGACGACATCATCAGCACTAACTTCAGTTTGAATTCCTAGAAGCTTAGCATTCAGGTCAGTCAGCAATGAACAGATGCTTAGACATAGACTCATTTTATCAACTAACAAAAAAACGATAAACGAAAGAAAGGTCAGAGGTCAAGTAGGGGAACAGCCAACAGAAAAATCTATGCAGTCAATGACAACATCCAAAGAAAACAACCAATCACAGACCACTTCGTCAGAGCAAGCTACTAAATCACCCACGGAGAGATACTGACAGCTCACTTCTCACAGAAGTTAGTTCTGATGAATTCACTGTCTAGAAAGACGATGAAAGCTTCTCCACGATTAAACAACCTAGCTGAGAGAGCGAAATACAACTAATTCGTTAAGTTTCCAAAAGAACTATCTTCAAGCACTGAATAATTCTACGTCCTCGATGGATTATATTTTCTAGCCGTTTTAACAAGTATTCAACTATTCATTCGATAAACAGTCAACGTCTAGAATAATCCATTCAGTTGCCTCTAATTTAATCAATTAATGTTTGTCTGCTTTTTTCATCCTGTATAAAAACATCATATCAACGAGATAAAATGCGTATGTACATGTTTCCATTGTTGTGGATGGTAAACAGTAGTATTGAAAGCATAAAATGAAATAAAATCACTTTATTCAGATGTACTTGTTATCCATCCACTATTCATCGGAAATTTCAAATCAGAAAAAGAATTTTCAAGAAAATTTCCCATCCAGAGATTCGCAACTACTATGATGAATGAATACATCATTAAGTATCCCATCAATGACCAATCTCAGCATTTTATCCTTAGTAAAGATTCCTAAAATCAGCTATTCACTTCAAATCAGGGAAACAGACAACAGTTACAGGTCAAATGAAGATGGGAAAAGATCAAAAAGGGCTGTTTCATTCAAGTTTGAGTCTAGTGTACAGGGAAAAAGTATAATCCCATCATATGCGGCAGTAAGGAAGCTAATTTTCAAAATCTGGGTCATGACTTAATAATTTTTCTATTCAGATGGATATCCTGAAGTATTTTTGAGAAACTTTGACCATGATACTTTCATAAGTAGGATGTCAGAGCTGATACTCACCAGTGACATTGGATACTGTTTTTATCATCTCTTGAGCTGAGATTGCTAAAGCGTGAAACTTTTTTAAAAACTAGTTTCAATCCCTTATGGCTCAGTGCATCATCACTGCTCACGAGTCGTTAAACCAATGCTGAATAGCTCTTTAAACCTTCATACTTTCTAGTAGTTTTCTGGCTGTTGCGAATTCATGGACACAATCATCTCCAAATGGATAGATTCAGGGTGGAATTTTTAACCATTTTCTTTCAACTTCATGACTATTTATAAAAGAACAGTGTTGTCTTGGTTACACTTTCAAAGAAGGAACTGCAGCTTGAACATTAACCAGAACCTAGTTAAAAGCCTTCCGTCTGAAAGTTTTTTGCAATATCTAACGAAGGTTTAGAATGGTGGACTAGTTGTAACTATTGAAGTTGAAAACAAGACTGAACCAGTGTAGAAATTGAGCCAATAACCTACTGTTCGGCAGTCCTGCCATATAGTGGATGAGTAACAGTAACCTAAAAGCTAGATCGTGATTGCAGTTAGGTCGAAGAAGCTCCTCTCAGATAATAAGTCGACTACCGATTTGAATTCTGTTACATCCAAGCGTTTTGTATAAACTTCAATCACCACTGTGCTTACATTCCTAATTGGACATTCAGCATACAAGTAACTAAATAACAAGATGTCAAATCAGCTTTATCTGTTCCATAGTCAAGTCCGTACATTCAGTTTAAAGGTTTTCTCATAAGTCTTAATGAACTTTTCAAACTGCTTAATTTATCTCAGGCATGTGATAAAGTGCAACAAACAGTGAGGAGCAAGATAAGGGGGATACGCTGTACCGGGGAAAAGATCCTAGAAGATTTCGACCTCACCGATGACTTGCGTCTAATGTCTTGTAGCACAAACTCGAAGATCCACAGGTGAAAACTAACCAGTTGACAGAAGATGCAGCGAAGACAGGACTTCAGGTGAACGCGGAGAGGACAGAGGTGATGAGGATGCCTATTAAACACCACCACAAAACAACAACAATCTCCAATCACCATCAACGGGAGAAACTTAAAGGAAGTAGCCTCCTTCTTCTATCTAGGCAGCATCGTTTCAACTACAGACAGCACAAGCGCAGACGAGGATGTCGAAGTCAGCCAGTATTGGAAAAGCAAGACAGGCATTCATTAGCCTGAAACCAGTGTGGAGATCTTCTGCACTCAGCATAAAATGTGAACAATATACGGATTTTCAACACCAATTCACTCAAGTCACTGTTCCTGTATGACTCAGAGACCTGGCGTGTTATGAAAGGTATTTCCAACAAACTACACACACTCATCAACAACTGCATACACCGGTTCCTTACTGAAGCTCACATGGAGAGAAAGAATAAGCAACAAGCAACTCTGGCAACGAACCAACTAACCAAGTACCTATCAATCAACAAATATGCAGTGGAAGGAAGTGGAGATGGATTGGGTGTGCACTGAGAAGGCCGATTAGGGACATGATGCATCAGGCAAGTTACTCGAGTAAAACCCAGATTGGAAACAACGAGTTGAGCGTCTGAGCGAGGGTGAGATGGAGGAGATGGGGTGTGAGGAGGAAATGAGAGGTTGTGGGCTGTCGTGGAATCAGGTTGAGAAGGTTTCAGAGAAGAGAGTGGAATAGAGATATGCTACTGAATTCCTATGTTTCATTAGGAACCCAAGGGACAAATAATAATAATAATGTGAAAAGGTAAGAAAAACTGGTTATTGACGGTACCTTCGATTTTGTGCTCACCTTCTTGAAACGATAAATTTGATATTACGACAATGAATTCAATAATGTTTAATCAATTACTTTTAGCTTTAAGACAAGTTAGCATAGAGTTGAATAAACTTACTGATTTTGTGATTGAATGTGTATACTGACCCATTTCATAATAAATCTCTGCATTGTTTCCAGAGTCTTTATCAAAAGCTTGAAATTTTGTCACAACCTGCCCTGATGGAACATTTTCAGATATTTCAATGAATAAAGGTTCAGAAAGTTTTGAAGAGGAATTATTCAACCCCATTAGATGAAACTCTGGCCGACAGTCATTAACATCTTGAATGTTTATTATTAATGGAAGTGTTGTAGTATGCCTTTTTTCTTCTAGTCTGTAGTGATCATCTATAGCTAATAGATATAACTCGTACTTTTCAACATTTTCACGATCTAAGATATGTTCTAATTGAATTTCTAGAACTTTCAGATCCATTGTTTCTGTCAACCTTAGACTGAAAAGATTTGTTGAATTCGACAACTGACGATTATGTAGAATCTCATCATGAGAATTAAAACGATTTATCAGATGATGTCGGGTAAATATATCTTCTTCGTAGTGTTCAACAGCTACTAATCTATATGTTATCTCAGAATTTAAACACATATCCAAGTCTATAGCAAGTGGTAATTGATGTCGTGTACCAATTTGATCATCCTCCATAAAATTTATTTCATATTTTAAAAATGGTGCAAAATTTGGTTGATTATCATTAAGATCAATTAATTGAATATTGATTGTGAAAATTTTCATACCAATATGAAATAAATGAATGGCTATTGTTATACTGAACTGACAATAAGGTGATAATAATTCACTGGATTCAAAATTCCCACCGAAATTCAATGATGATAATACTGAATTATTATTTTTAAGAGTATTAATTTTATCTTTTTCACGATTGATCATTGAACAAATGTCTGTTGAACACATGCATATATCACTTTGTTGTTTTAATTGTTGCGTTCTATTTGTTTTCATTTGACATATATAATCACGATCTAGCTTCTTTATTTGTATTAATTCTTGTTTAAATACATTATGATAATTTATATGAAAATAAGCTGCACTCCATTGACTAGATGGGAATAAATACAAACGTGGTAATTCATAATTATTATTATTGTTAGTGTTGCCTTTAATCGACTGATATTGGTTAGCAATTAAATCAATACTAAGTATTTGTTTTGTTTGATTGTTTTGTATTTCCTGATCACTTCTTAAAGACTGAAGAGGATCTTTCATAGGATAACTTAATAAATAATTGTACAAGTTGAGATCTTGAATTAAATCACCAATGAATTGTGGAACATTCAACTCTTCTATGAGTGTATAAGTGATTTCTTTATTAAATGCTATTGGTTGTTGAGTAGATTCCTTATGTATCGGTTCTGTTATTGATGATGACGATGAGGAGGAGGAAGAGAAAGGATTCAAAGAAAGTGAAGGAAACGTCCTCGGTTTTGACAAGGTTAAAACACCAGAAGGTGAAAATTTAGGAAGATGATTCGATGCTTTCTCTGTAATAAGCAGGAATTCGTGTTTATTTAAATCGGTGAGAATAAAAAGTGTAATGAGTTGTACAACTTTACATGGTGTCATCTATTCTTTTATTTCGACATATCTGTCCTACTATCTTTTTGTTCAAGCTTGTTTTACTCTGGCTTACTTCATTGTTTCCAGGTGAAGTATTCATGAAAGCATTTTATTATTCAAGTAAATGGTATGGTGTTCAATAATACTTGAAAATGCCGTCCAAAAACCTATAAAATGAATAAAGTAGTCACTTAGAAGGAAATGTTAAACTTTACATTAAAGAAGGTAATCTTTTTTTCAAGTGTACAGACAAATATTGAATAGAATGGAACACATGTCTTGAATTCCACTTCTGTTGTAACTGTTTGTGGAGAAATAATATGATCTTTTGCTTTCCACTTATTCTGCTGTCTCTGTCCTGTTTTAGATGGTTGATAATTCAATGTACTCAGCAATTAAGTTGTGAACCTGTCGTCAGTAAGAAATAAATAAATATGTATATGCTTTAACACAGGGATCGACTTAAGGATCCGACAGAACCAAATTAGGCAAAATAATCCAACTTGTCAAATTCTATGTAATGACTATGAGGTAAAGTACATAGGTGAAACTAGCCGATCGCGGTCGGTTAGAATAACGGAACATAGGGATTTAACTAAATGTAGCATAACAAACCAGAATAAGATGAGTAATCTAGAAAACATTAGGCTACTACGATGCGTGCATTAACACACAACCACACAATTGGGTGGAATAAAGCACTGTTCTCAAAGCCAATATAGTTAGGTGGAGAGACAGATGGAGAAATTGGTTGCTGGAACTTTGTTAATCGAATCAACACTCAAAACATGTAATATAAATGACGCAACACCTATACCAGTGGTATGGAGAATTTTACTGCCAATAAAAAGGAAGAATAAGAAGTGATGACAACATTATGGCAACCAGATGTTGAAGGTTGTGTTTGATTACAGTGATACGATTATGAGCAATAATTTATGCTAGAAAGGTCATGAAGTAAATAATAGTATATTGCTGTGTGCTATAAATAAAATAAACAATTCTTATATGGTATGTACACACACATCAAACAATGTAGATCTTGTGAAAGATAAGGATTGACTACATCCGTGTGACTGTAGCCTATCACCAGAGAAGTCATTAAAAAATCTCCACAACCAGCTAACTCCCAGTCAGATGGTCTTCAATTCCACATTTACAAGACAACTGAAACAGGTGATGATTTCATCTCTGATTTGCTATCTTTGCTTGAACCGTATTTTTCTGTCTCAGAGTAAGGAGTAGATTTGTATCCCTAATACATTTCGAACAGAACTTATCAGTTCATCTACCTCATCATGCTTCTGATAGGCTGGGAAAACTTACTAGTAGGCCAGAAAAGCTACAACAAGAGATTAGACATATCTAGAATTCCCTGTGTCTCAATAACTACTTACCTAAATTTACAAATAAATTCATTAGAAACCAAAAGTAAAATATTAGTAACATCATAAAGAATTCTCAATAAGGCTGGGATCAAAGTAGCATTTAGACCAGCAAAACTCCCTTACAAACAAGCTTTATAGGTTAGAAGATCCTATTGATCCAATTAAGCAAAATGATTTGTTGTACCAAATCACTTGGTAATTGTTATGAAGTCAAATACATAGGTCAAAGTAGTCGACAAGCAACAATTACAATAACAGAGCACAAAAACTTAGTTAAGTCAAGATTAGTAATTCCTTATAAGGTAAGAAATTTGGAGTAAAGTTTGGCCATAGCTCTGCATGCAATTAGGCACAATCATACAGTAGGATGGAATACAGAGACAGCAGTAAAAAACCAACTTAGTTAGGTGGGAAAAGAGATTGATAACTGAGTCTTTGTTTATCGAATCAACATTAAATATATGCAATAGAAATGATTTTCCACTTGTCCCAGATATATGGAAAATTCTACTACCATTGTTATCTACAAAGACGGAGAGATAGTTAGGACTATATAAACTCAGCCTCATAGTTGTAGAGTTACCCAGTGGTATGAATGTGGACAATAAATTGTGTCCAAAACGTTGTTATCCAGTAAGTTATACTATCACTTCACTGTGTGTTACATTTCTAATAAATAAACTAAACTGGAACTACAATCTACAATACTATCCAAGTTTTACTCCTATATTTATGTCAAGATGTTACTACAGGCACCCATTCATTAAACATTATTATTATTAGCATTATTTGTCCCTTGGGTTCCTAATGGAACATAAGAATTCAGTAGCATATCTCTATTCCACTCTCTTCTCTGAAACCTTCTCAACCTGATTCCACGACAGCCCACAACCTCTCATTTCCTCCTCACACCCCATCTCCTCCATCTCACCCTCGCTCAGACGCTCAACTCGTTGTTTCCAATCTGGGTTCCACTCGAGTCACTTGCCTGATGCATCATGTCCCTAATCGGCCTTCTCAGTGCACACCCAATCCATCTCCACTTCCTTCCACTGCATATTTGTTGATTGATAGGTACTTGGTTAGTTGGTTCGTTGCCAGAGTTGCTTGTTGCTTATTCTTTCTCTCCATGTGAGCTTCAGTAAGGAACCGGTGTATGCAGTTGTTGATGAGTGTGTGTAGTTTGTTGGAAATACCTTTCATAACACGCCAGGTCTCTGAGTCATACAGGAACAGTGACTTGAGTGAATTGGTGTTGAAAATCCGTATATTGTTCACATTTTATGCTGAGTGCAGAAATATACTAAGGATACAAATCTACTCCTTAACTCTGAGACAGAGAAAAATACGGTTCAAGCAAAGATAGCAAATCAGTGATGAAATCATCACCTGTTTCAGTTGTCTTGTAAATGTGGAATTGAAGGCCATCTGACTGGGAGTTAGCTGCTTGTGGAGATTTTTCAATGATTTCCGTGGTGAGAGGCTACGGCCACACGGATGTAGTCAATCCTTATCTTTCGCAAGATCAAAATTGTATGATAAATGCATACATATTCATTTACTTCCTATTTCATATATTCTACCATTCCTATTTCAGCTTTCTCCTAATGTTGTTCTTTATCATCCGTTTTCTTTCAAAATGGTTGTGATCTGAACTATTAAGCTTTACAAAGTATATCTCTTTTTGTAGGTTTTCCGTTGTCTGTATTTTCATGCTTGAGCAATTTGACTTACAACGCGTTTGGGTGGTCCAAACCATATTCAGCTATAAGAACGTTTAGGTCAACCATGAAACCTGTCAACAGCAGATAAATAGTCTGTTCAAAATGTAATCTATTCTAGGCTAACTTGACTATATTGGTAAGCTAAAATAACCTTATAAAAACGGAACTAATAGTTCAAATGTTACTGAAAATCCATAAACTTATAATGTTGTATCTAGTTAATTCCAATATGCAGAAGGAAGTGGAGATGGATTGGGTATGCACTGAGAAAACCATTCGGGAGCATCAAGCCCAGGCCAGTCCGTCGAGTGAAACTTAGATGGGAAACGATGAGTTGGGCGTCTGAGCGAGGGTGACATGGAGGAGATGGGGTGTGAGGAGGAAATGAGAGGTTGTGGGCTGTCGTGGAACCAGGTTGGAAAGTTTTTGCAGAGAACAGAGTGCACTAGAAATGTGCTACTGAATTCTTATGTTTCATTAGGAACCCAAGGGATAAATAATAATAATACCTAGTTAATTATGCAATTAATTAGGTTTCAGTCCCTACAGTTGGATTCTACACAGAATGTTTAAACAGGGTATGAGATAAAGACTTTAAGTCATCAAAGTAAAAACGAATTAGTAGCTTTAACAATATACATCAAACACCTACTATCTTAATTACTTTTTCGTCATGCATAGATGTGATTTCAGAAAATTAGTTTATACCTGTGACTAATACCAGTGAAAGAGTTTTAAAGTCCGTCGGTGCTTCGTATCACCATTTATTCTTCTTTAAACTCACTGACAGTAAACATTCCTAACTTTAAAACCTTATGAAGTAAAGAAATCCTCATAGAAACCGACTTCAAAACGATCTTGAACCCGCCTATAGAACTAAAATACCGATTAAAGATATCATCTTGATTGCTAACTTATGTCCTAACTCAACAGTTTTCTTATTTCAAGATAAAATATAAAAACAAACAAAAGAAGCAGACATGAAGGCATCAATATCCCTAGTCATAGCAGTTAATTTTACAGACATCTGGAGCGTTCATCTCTTCAAAAGTCTAATTCTATACCGAAAGTAAGATAAAGATATATGGGTGATATATTAGTTGTGTTAAAAGTGAAGCGTACTTGTGTTTTCTGCACACACATAAACTCAGTGGTTGATTTAGATATAATTCACTTTCATGTTAAATGAATGATAACAAAAGTTAGCTACATTGATTGACAAACAAGACGGAAACCAGACAAGGGTTTGGACACAAGTGCCTACAGGAAATTACTTCATTCCGGTAGTCATTAAGACTTCGTTCAGATCATATTACCATATATCAGTAAAGTCAGGCTTAGTTTAAGTAATCAACCAAGGAATCTAACCGGTAGGATAGAAAGTAAAGACAAAGAATGAAGCAAACAATACAAGTTTCGGCTCAGAACAACTATCAGAAATCTGTAAGGACAATATTAAGAATGAATCTAAGGTCTCTAATGCGTCAGCTTAGGGTTCTCCTGGCCCATTTATACAAAGCAACTTAAGTAAACAAACACTGTGCAATGAGTGACTGGTCAAATGTCAAACCAGCTGGTTGAGATTGGTCAGTTTAGAAGAATATTGGAATCTAGTTTAGTCTGTGGTGACGAAAGTTAACAAGATGAGAAACTGGAGAATGATTCTGTTATAGGAATACCAATGATAACAAAAACATACAACAGGGTGAAATAGAGTAAGAGTCATAAAGATTAACATTTTTATTCGGTAGGAGATGTAAGTCACTAAATCTGTGATCATCGGCTCAGTTTCAAGTCTGTGTAATACACATGATTAAATACTAATTTTAGGCATATATATATATATATATATATGATCCTACTAACAAGAGATGTAAAAAAATACAACTCAATAGGGTGTCTAAGACCAGATGGTGGGATTACCTTGATTATTAAGAAGGAGATTGCTTGGAATATCATCTGTAAGTAATACTATGTCACTATATACTGTATCAAGTAGAACTTTACCACAACACATAAATTCTATGCTTCAGCTAAGAAATTCCGAACCCACTATTGACGTTCTTCAAGCTGGAAACCCCAAAGATTTAATGAGAAGCCGTGATTGTGAGGCTAACTATTCAGAAGTGAAGTGGATGCCAGCTAAAGATCTTTATGGATAGTTACACTGTATTACGAATTGACCAAATTAGGAAGCCATGAGCCATTTAACTCTGATCCAGTGGCTGAATATTCAATGGATTCGTCGTGAAGCCTGAAAGTTCTTAATCCAATCCCCGGTGAGATCGTGGACGTG